AAATTCCCGAATTACTCATTTTTTCTGTACGCGGAAGCGCTTGTACCAAAGGCTTGTACAACTACTCCTAGCGCTCACAACAGCTCCAAGGGTCTGGCCATATTCGGCAATTTTTAAAAAATACTTTCAGTGCGTATTAGCAGCTAAAATTTTGACAGTGGATTTTGTTGTGTGTACTCTTGCAGTGAAAAATAAAAAATCAGGGCAGATTTCGACATGTCGGATCAGACCATTCCCTTGTCATTCTGTTACTAGGCGTTCACTGGTAACGGCTCCAACAGCGGCTATTCTTCTGTCTCCGGCTCAAGTCCTCTCTTCACAGACTCCCATACAGAACTCAGTCGAACTCGATAAGCTCCAAACCTTCCGGTTATAACAACTCTGCACAGACCACATAGGTTGCCTAGCAACGGCTGCTGCTTACAGAGTCAGCGCTTAGCAACGTGTCTATACGGCGCATTATATATATATATATATAATGCGCCGTATAGTGCCGTATATATATATATGTTTATACATACTTTGTGCTGCAAACCGAATTTTGAAATACTTCTAAATAAACTGAGGGGGCACGCGGTAGCTAGTTGTTTGAGGCACTATGCTGAAAAACGGAAGGTCGCAGGTTCGATTCCCGATGAAGTCACTGCATTTTTTAATTTACCTAATACTTCCAGTCGCACAATGGCCCTGGGGTCGACTAAGAAATGAGTACCAGGAATCATCCGGAGGGTAAAGAGCGGCCGGCGATTAAGACTGACAACCTGACCGCCATCTGTGAGCCGATTGTCTAGAAAATTTGGGAACCTCGACGTCTCAGAATCCTATGATCCTCTACGGCCTGCTACAGGGATAGTTTTACCTTTTTACCCTACTTCTAAATGAACTGTTGGTGGAATGCCGAGGCTGTGTTACATTAATTGTGTTTGTGTTGTGCTGCAGGTAATCCTTGTGCCACATTCGCACAACGACCCGGGCTGGGTGAAGACATATGAGAGCTACTACCATTATCAGACGCGGAACATCCTCAACAACATGGTGGACAAGCTGCAGCGCTTCCGCAACATGACTTTCATCTGGACGGAGGTCTCTTTCTTCTCACAGTGGTGGGAGAGGTGAGTACATGTCATGTTCCCGCTCCGACTGTACTATCCCACGGATAGGCGCTTAGCCTGGCTCTACCCTGTGAGCGAATCGTCTGACGAGGCATACTGGCTTGCGCACGCAGCAGACTTGCGCCTGCGCTCTTCAGGTTGGAGGAAAAATCACAATATGACAACAGCACTGCATTCTTCCGCCTCAGCTGAGTCTTGCTGCATAACACAGGCGATGTTGTGGGTTTGCAGGTTGTCTTAGTTGAATGCCGCCTATTATACGAAGGAATTGCTGCAGTATTTACGTATTTCCATCAGCACTGCTTGCATTATTTTCAATTCATGGATTCATAAGTATTTTTGTCTCTTAAGGCTCTCTTTTGCTTCATTGATCCGGATGACCTGTCCCAGCAATTAATCCAGATTAACGGGGGTTTTTCCCCCCCTTGGCACTACAGCCCCAGTGGGCCTAGGCGTACCTCCATAAACTTCTCCATTGTCTTCGGTTTTTCTAGATCTTACACATTCGGTACGACTCCTTGGGCGGATGATCAGCTCGTCGCAAGGCCTCTACCTGTACACAAACACAGAAAAACGCACACACACAAACTTAAACATCCATGCCCTGAGTGAGATTCGAACCCACGATCCCGGTTTCCAAGCGAGCGAAGACAGTACATGCCTTAGACCGCTCGGCTACCGTGACCGGCTAACGGGGGTTTACTGTAATAAAATTTCCGTCCACATATCATGGATCGGCAATGTTCTGTACAGCTCGCAGTGCGTAGAAAGGAACATGGCCGCCGGTCAGATAAGCCGTATCAGTAACAAAGGGGTAGGACAGTTTGCAAGCATCTTGTTACCCAGATAACGAGGCTGAGCCACACGGTGATCAGAGGCATGACACATGTCAGAAGGTAACCTGACGTCCCATTAGCGCGGAACACGATACGGGACAAGCACGTGCTTCCCTGGCAGCTAATCAGCCCGTCTCGCGCCGGTACAACGCATTTCGATGCCTTAAAGACACTGCACACCTGAAATAACTGAAAGCCCCTTGTTCTAAATCTCTAAACGACGGGCCTAACTCTGTGCCATCTGCTTTAGCATTCAGAACTCTCACAGACGTGATTTGTGTGTTGTTCTTACAGTTATTATCCAGCGGTCCTGTTTTTATTTAAAAAAACAATGTTTTGGGGTCCGGATTCTGTCTTCGTCTTCTGGTGGGACCTACTCAGTTGGGCCCAATCGACTGAGCCAGTTCCTATTTCCGGGCACCAGAGTCAGAATCAGAGTCAGACTTACTCTACGAGTGGCGGTTTACCGCCAAGCGGTTCGTATTCGCGACTAGCCCCTTTGGGTTCACGACCATATTTTTTTTTTCAACTGAACCCCTGCTTTCATAGTCCTTATGCAATATCCTGTCTGGTTAGAGGATGGGTCTGTCGTTTACAGTTGCTGCTGGTCCTCGCCAGCGCAGTTATTCTTAGGTCCGACGATTCCATTTCAGGAGAAGTCGCCAGTGACTGTGACAATGGAAGGGGATGTATCTGATCTATTGACCCCAGTCATGAAAAAGAAGACACTTGCTTCAGCAGAGGGGGTCACTGACCCCAGAAATGAAGACCAGCACAGGAGACATTGACTGCAGAAGAGGAGACCAGTTCCGGCCCCTTCTGGGTGGCATTCAGAAGACATCTCTTCGAAGTCTACTTTGACTCTAAGGAAAACTGTAATGGAACAGACGAACGAGGGAAATAAGAAAGGTAAAGGCAAGAAAACTCGATGGAACTTCTGTCACATGGGTGTCCCAGTTCTTCAAACGAAGAAGCTGTTCACGAGTCTTCAATGTGTTCTCAAGAAGAGATTTCTGATGATGTCAGGGCCTTGCCCCAGATAGTGAATACAAGAGATATTAGTCTTCTGAGCGTACAATCTGGCCGCATCGGGGAGCTGTGGTACCGTAGCGTTGTCTCTTCTGGAAGTGTTCTCGGCAGATATTGCGACTTTGTGGTGAACGTCTGTGACATCAAACTAGAGGCAGAACTAAGCGATATATTAACTGTCTATTCTACTGGCCTCTTTAGTTTCATATGGTATTGTCACGTATATAGGGGTTGTGACTAGAAGGGGTTTGGATTGGATAACACACTTACACACACAACTTGGAACTACAGCGCTAACGCTAATCTCCATGCTTTACAAATCACCGCAGCACCCGATAAGCCTTTTTCCAGCCTGCTGTGTCTTCAGCAGCCGTTCCCCAATAATGGTTTCTAACAGTGGAGCTTTTACAGCTTCCCACGTTCACGTCGTTATTGTCCGGCGAATATCCCGCAATTGAACTGCACCCAGCCTGCTTAGGGTCCTCGTTATATAGCCTTGTGACGGACCCAACGAAAAAACACCGCCACCAACAGGTTTTCCTATTTTACCAGGAATCTTTCGGCCGGGGGGGGGNGGGGGCGCCCGGCACGTAAGGCTGACAACCTTACCGCCATCTCTGAGCCGACTGTCTAGAAAATGTAGGAGCCTCAACGTATCACAGGCCTGTGGACCCCCATGGCCTGTTACAGGGATAGCTTTACCTTTTTTATTCATAGATGCCTTTATTGCTTATAGTTGATAATGTCATTTAATCTGTTATGGGAAAATGTTTTGGAAACTGGAAGACCCCCATAAATGGACATTTTATAGCACTTCAAAGTTGGATGCGTGGGGTTCGCCCCTTCCCCTGTATAGTCTAGATACTGACGGCGTCATAAAATACTCCATTCAGCACAATAAAGTTACCGCTTGAGCCAACGTGACCGTTGCAAGCTGGGAGTTTATCTTGGAGGGTTGAAATCACCTTCCATAAAAATACATGTATGAGAAAGTCTGCGGTAAGTTTCTTGAATTGGAGGATGTAGCGGCGGTTTTCTGGCTTGTAATGCCCATAGTTTGGAGAGAGTCCGACGTTTTGGAAGAGCTAGGCTTCATCTTCATAGTGGAAGAGTTATCCAAGCAATGAGGTGTCTGCCCTGCTTGGAATACCAGAATTATTTATTCTGTGCTCATTGGCCCGTATCCCCAAATTGACCCCTTACAGTAAACTGTATGTACCAATTACTTCAACATTCATAACTTCAACCTCTTCCCTACAGAGTGTATTCATGTAAACTGTCACAGATGCCCCAATTTTTCGTCATCCCTTTTTTTGTTTGTTTAAAGAGCGGAATGTTTCCGGAACTGGCTCTGATTCCGTCATCAGGTAAAAAGTGAAACGTACTCAATTGGGTCCATCGGATCGAATTACTCTCAGCTACCAGACACTGGGACTGTAAACAAGGTTTGTACGTAGTGATACGTGCACATTCGATGCGGCGTGGGAAGAAGCGAGCGTGCCGTAACCTCGGCTACCGTCCCAACGCGTTTCCGGAAGGACTGACAGAAAAACGACGAACTAATTAAAGTAGTGCAGGGTGGTTAGGAGCCGGTATAGCGACTCGCTACGGGGTGGAAGACCAATGGGGTCGCAGCTCGTGTCCTGATAAGTTCAAGCATTTTCTCTTCTCCATGTCGTCCAGACCGGCTCTGGGGCCCACCCAGTCTCCTCTCCAAGAGGTACTGGGGCGTGAAGCAGACCACTCACCTACAACTAGTTCCGAGGTCAGGAATCTTTGATCTATACATTCACTCCCCATATGCCTTCAAGGTGTAGTGCTTAATTAGTTAAGCACAGGGACAGCTTTGCCTTTTTTTTAATGCTAGTGGGGTGAGACTAAGTCCCTTGTACTACGGCCACTTCTGGCCTATTGTACCATCCCCAGATGAGAGGTGAGGGTGATTGTGCAGCAGTTGGTGGAATGAAGATTCGCAGGGGAACCGAAGTACTCGGAGAGAACCTGCCCCAGCGCCACTTTGTCCACTACAAATCCCACTTGACCATACCCGGGATCGAACCCGGGCCGCCGCGGTGGGAAGTCAGCGTCTAATCGCTTGAGCTATGGCGCGGCCCTCAGCTTTACCTTAGTACAGTGTGGTTCTAACTCGAAAAGTTTTATTACCTGTAGAAACAATACTGCAAAATGTTAAACAACTTCAACATGCGCGCCTTTCTTGGCACGTAAGGTGTCCAAGCGTTATTCAAGTTCCCAACCCCGACAATAATTTAGAATCACAGTGTATATCCGGTTTCTATCAGAAAGTGTTATACAAAACGACTGCATACAGATATCGCGACATGAGAGTGGAGGGCAGAATCATGACACGGAGAAGCCTAACATGTAGCAAAATTGCAATATCTGGGAACGTCACTGCCTTCATGAAGAAATAAAATGCAGGTTAAAACGTCAGCAACACTTGCCATCGTTGGGTTTAAGATGTCTTGTCTTCTCTCCTGTTGTCCAAAACTGTTTGACAGTTACGGTCTCTGGCGAGAGGGCGGGTCTGTCTTTTATACATATATGCTGCTGGCCCTTGCCAGCGCAGTCTTTCTCAAGTCCGAGTCCCTTGGGACTCACGACCATATTTTACTGTTTCACATTTTACACTTCCCTTTTCCTCGCCTTCTGCGACTCACAGGGCTACGTTAGAGGGATTCGACCCCGCCTGACTGGTGTTATTAGATTAACCTTCGCACGGACCACGCACAGAAAATACCGTCTCCCATTATTGTGGATGCATGTTTACAACTTCGTTGCCTGATAATGGAAACACTTAGCCTTTTGTTGTCCAAGAATTTGCCTTCGCGGGAAAATGTTTACTTAGCTGTTCCCTAGCAATGGATATACATGTTACACAGTTATTAATTCGACGCCTCCTCCGGGTGGATGATTCTGTAGTTCCTGAGTATTCTACTTCTGACGTCACAGTCTACTGTGCAGGTAATTCACATATTGATTTGTCCTTATTGTTGCTACTGTGGGCTACGCGCCCATCGCTCTGCTCGGCTCCACTACTCACGCGATTAATTCGTGGCTTGTGGACTCTAACGCAGTATTAATATTTCAGAGGGCAGACTGGCCTACTAATCCTTC